CTCTGCATTTGACCCAGTGGGCAGCACATGGCACGTCCAGGGACTCTTCTCCATTATGTTCTTCTTGGCTTGGCTTTGCTTTGGCGCCACCTAGTGCTCAATTTCATTTCTCTCCAGCGACTAAGTCAGGAATCAAAATACACTAGACGGTTCACAAAAACCCCAGAAGTGCAAGTTCGGGCACCAGCCAATCAGCGAAGAGTCATACATTCTGTGTTGTCAACGATTCATGAGATTGAGGATTTAAAGCCGGAATAAAGAGAATGTTTGGTGAATTTTATCAAGGGGAAAAACATTGTTGCCCTTCTTCCTACAGGATTTGGAAAAGCTTAATATACCAGTTATTCCAAGACCAAATAGCAGCGATTGGTTAAATGATAAAAAGTACCCACCCACCTACCGTCGAGTGAACAAATTCCAACACTGTGAGGTCAGACGGTTTGTACGAAGTGAAACCGACTGATGAATCAGGCTTGGTCAGGACTACTTTAGCTGGAGGATTTGAGCTGTGGTGCATGTTTTGCTTTGACAGACATGTTATTCCTTTGCTCCTTCCATAGTGAACAGTTTGCACTTTTCTGTCTTGCATTTGTTTAATTTTTCAAGTGTTTGGGACACTCAGAGCATCAAAAACAACTGAAATTTATTTAACATGTAAATACGTTATTTTCAAGGAGTGTTGATACTTGACATTCCCTAGGAGGTGATGCTAACTGTAGGCTCTTCTCTGTCTGAAGCTCTGTTACTCAAGGTAGACTTTAATCTGTTCAGACCAGAAGGAACTGACCTCACTAACACCTACAAAGGTGTGGTGATTTTAAAAAAATTGAAATTACATTTTTTAAAATCAAACTCCCAAACATAGGCAGTTTATTTTTTGCATTTTCACAAAATCCTTGAAAAATTACTAGAAGTGAATTTGAATTGGTACGTAATATCTTATTAGCAGAATTCTCACAGTAATCATGGTCTATCACAATATATCGAATTACAAGGTTTTTTACTTGTATGATGATACGTGTATAGACTATTATCACGCTGATACGTAGTACTTCTGCATTCAGTGATCTTTGTGCACGCCTTCTTCCGGTAAATTGTCACTCTGTTGATTGAACTCCTGATGGACGAACCAAAGTTGTTTACATAGACTACATCCCTTATAAATTTACAGAAAATATCCTTTTCCCACGTACATCGTCTCATTGATCAACATTCAGTCACAGCCCGCTCCAAAGTGGACAACGGATACAGTTTATTTTTTGAAAATTTCACCTACGACTATGAAGGTGAGTGACTACTAGCTAACATAACTTTACAGTTGCCGTTCCGACAAACCATCACTCCGATATTGACGTGTTATTGTCAGAGTAGCGGCATTTCCATTTTTTATCAAACGTCCCTGCACTCAGACATTTCTTTTTCGTTTGGTCAGAGTGGCGGAATCCTATGGTTGAAGGCGAACCACTGTGCGTAGATGATTAATTCATAATTTGAAAAGAGCAGTGACATCTAGCCATTGTTTGAGCCATTGTTGTTGTTGCGCCGGAAGTGGAAGTGCACAAACTCGACAAACCCCGCCCACAAAACCCGGAAGTGTGATAATGGCCCATTCAGATGTTTCCATAAATTATCGATTTAATTATTATGCAGTAATGAACAGACACATAAAAGCAGTAATTTTACATTGCTCATCACAGCTATAATCTCCAAAATAAAATAAAAATGTAAATGAATGGATAAATGAAAAATCAATCATTGCAAAAAGGAGTGGGGAGAAGCAACACTTATCCACCCCCACTCCCTTTTACAATCCCATTAAAGCAATAATGTGCTTCTGCCAGACTCTTGTAGTAAGTCACACAGTCCAGATACAAAAATAAATATAGTATAATTTACATTCAGATGACAAATACACTTAAATTCCTTCTTCTGCACACGTAGCTGTAATCATTTCTTTATATCTGTGTGCAAACAACAGAACCATGAACGATTGTATTGATCACAGGCTCTGGAAAATGTGTTTTTTAAACCCATTTCACATTTTTTCTCGAGTTTTCAGACTTAAAACTTCCTTGGCAATGTTTAGTAATGAGTGCGTTGCGTCACCATGGTAACTGCTGAACATTCGGTCATAAACATAGAGGCAGTGTTGGGGAGTAACAGATTACATGTACTGGAGTTAAGTAATCAGAGTACAAATTATGAGTAACTGTATTCAGTTACAGTTACTGTTTCAGTGAGTGGTAATTGGATTACAGTTACTTTGTTGAAATAAATGGATTACACAGAGGTATTTTCCTGTTTTCGCATTTTGGGCTATATCCCCCTAAAACTAAACCAGGTCTAAACCAGGTCTAAACCAGGTCTAAAACAGGTCTAAACCAGGTCTAAAACAGGTCTAAACCAGGTCTAAACCAGGTCTAAACCAGGTCTAAAACAGGTCTAAAACAGGTCTAAAACCAGGTCTAAACTAAACAGGTCTAAACCAGGTCTAAACCAGGTCTAAAACAGGTCTAAAACCAGGTCTAAAACAGGTCTAAAACAGGTCTACACAAGGTCTAAAACAGGTCTAAAACCAGGTCTAAAACAGGTCTAAACCAGGTCTAAAACAGGTCTAAACCAGGTCTAAAACAGGTCTAAACCAGGTCTAAAAACCAGTCTAAACCAGGTCTAAAAACAGGTCTAAAACAGGTCTAAAACCAGGTCTAAACCAGGTCTAAACCAAACCAGGTCTAAACCAGGTCTAAACCAGGTCTAAAACCAGGTCTAAAACCCGGTCTAAAACCAGGTCTAAAACGACTAAACCAGGACTAAACCAGGAATAAACCAGCAATGAACCAGGACTTAACCAGGATTTAACCAGGACTAAAACAGGATTTAACAGGACTAAACCAGGACTAAATCATGCTGCGTAGACGTGTCTCCTCCTCTTCTATCAATGATATTTTTAATACGGTTCAGTAAAGTCTGGGCTTTTTATTTTTCTTTTAAAAGACAAAACATCTTATGCTACGATTTCCTCGTCTTTGCTTCTCTACAGCAAATCAAGTAATCCAATGTATTCAGATTACATTACTCACTTTAAGTAACTTAATGGATTACGTTACAAACTGCTTTTTGGTGTGTGTAATCTGTAATCTGTAGGGGAATACATTTTAAAAGTCACCTTCCCAACACTGCACACAGGCATACATCAAACCAACAAAAGGTAACACGGGAATCTAAAAACGTTCTGTGTCGTGTCTTGAAGATGTCACCCAAATAGTTGCCACGATTGTTTTTTTTATTGTTATTTGACCAAACCCTCTTGAGAATAAAGAAGCTTCACGTCTCGTCGTTGTCGTTTAACCTCACGTGCGACCGCCGTCTGCAGTCGAACGATCGTCGGCCCTCTCGGTGGAAGCGCGCGGCGTCGGCTTGTGTTTCCGCGCTGTTATGATTTAGCTGTGTGTTAGTAATGAGGCGGTCCACGGGCGATTGGGCGTCGATGAGCCGTGGGTCTGACACACTGCTCAGATGGGAGCGCTTTTACTGCCTGTGTCATTGAGTTAAGTGAGCATCAAATTGTGCACGATTATTCCCAGCAGTGGTGTCAATACGAACATCAATATCCTTGTTAAGATCGCTGTGAAATGGATGAAAGTCAGTCCACATTAGGCGCATTATACTTTGTCATTTTAATGTTATGGAAATTGTATTTTTCTATTAAAACTATTGATTTGCTTATGATCTTTTGTATGATGTTTAATAAAGAAAGCACATGATGAGTGAAAGACATGAATGTGTTTTTGCAGTAAACACATTTTTTTTAGTATTTAGTCAGCGTCAAAAAGTCCTTCAAATCAGGATGTAGTGATGCCCATGTATATGAGCCAGAATTCACTTTTGTTAGAGTTGCTTTACGTCTAACTCAAACTAAACCAGGTCTTAAAGCAGAACCTCGTTTTGGAGATGTTCTGACCCAGACATGTGGCCATCACAAATAGTAAACTAGAAAAGCACTCAGAGAGCGCAGACCTCCGCCAAGGACTACAGTCCCCCTCATATTAATTGTGTTTTCCATAAATATTTGTCTCATATCTTTCAATTTGGAATATGAAAGAGGATCCCATTGTCCATCCCTGAGTCAAATTTCATGGGGTTTGGTCAATAATTAACCGAGATATTGAGAAACAAATTTTTTGGCCCCATTTACCACAATGTTAACTAAAATTTCAAAGTGATCCAGAATCCAGGATTTCTTCCGGATCACCCCCACCAGGAAACTAAAACAGTACGAAACCTGGTCTAAAACAGGTCTAAAACAGGGTCTAAAACGGGTCTAAAACCAGGACAAAAAACAGGACTAAAACAGGTCTAAACCAGAACTAAACCAGGTCTCACTCAGGATGAAACCATGTGTAAACCAGGACTAAAACAGGTCTAAAAACAGGTTTAAAAACAGGTCTAAAACAGGTCTTAAACCAGGACTAAAACAATACGAAACCAGGTCTAAAAACAGGTCTAAAACAGGTCTAAAACAGGTCTAAAACAGGGTCTAAAACAAAACAGGATCTAAAACAGGATCTAAAACAGGGTCCAAAACAGGATCTAAAACAGGGTCTAAAACCGGGTCTAAAACCAGGACTAAAACAGGATTTAACCATGCTGCACAGACTGCCCCCCCATCCCCCTCCGGTCTGTGAAATATTGGTCGACATAAAACCGGTCCGTGGTGCAAAAAAAGTTGGGGACCACTACTTTTTTGAGATTTTAACCATGTTATATTTTTGTCCCATCATCAAAAACATACCTGAGGTTTTATTTTGCTTCATTCAAACAGGTATCCTTAATCCATTAATCCAAAGTTATCTCCTCTGAGCACATCAAAAATACAGAATACACAAAGCTCTTACTGTGAGCAATCTGCAGACTCGTCCTGGGGTCAGATGAACTGCGTAGCTCTAACAGCATCATGAATTTAAACTGTTCATGTGTTCATGTTTGTGTGATGTTTTCAGATGCTGGTGACGACTCCTGAGAAGTGGGACGTAGTGACGAGGAAGAGCGTTGGTGACGTGGCTCTGTCTCAGATCGTGCGTTTGTTGATTTTAGACGAGGTTCATCTGCTTCATGAAGACAGAGGCCCGGTGCTGGAGAGTCTGGTGGCCCGGACCATCCGACAGGTACAGAATACGACTTTGGTTATTATGGAACAGTTTACCCACATAAACACACACAAGCACAAGCACAAGCCCCGTGTTAGAGGCACTGATGACTCATAAAGAGGAAAAGAGAGATTAAACTCAGCTCCAAAACACACTGCTGTGTTTACCTTGAATGGGACTGTGGACAGTGACAGACGTTTTGAAGCCTCCTCCTCTTCTCTGCGCTGTTGTTTAATCCATAAACTCTCAGAGGAGCTCGTATCACAGCAGGACTCATATCTGCCTCACTCTTTAACAGATATTTCATGTTGTTGGGCTTCTTTTTTGTGCTGAAGCGATAGCTCTGCTGCGCGACATGTAAACAAACAGCTCTGTGTGATGACGCCATCGGACCGTGGCTCGTTCATGGGCGGCTGTGAGTGTGGGACACAGAGGCCTGTGCACTGGTGCGCCTTAAGTTTTAGGATTTATTACCTCCGCCAACGAGGTTATGTTTAGCAACATAACTCAAAAAGTTATGGACCGATTTTGAAAAGAAATCCTGGATTCTGGATCACTTTGAAATTTTAAACATTGTGGTAAATGGGGCCAAAAATTCTCGGGATTTGACTCAGGGATGGACAATGGGATCCTCTTTCATATTCCAAAGGCTGATCCGGATCTGATTCCTTGGCGGAGAGTGCTTTTCTAGTTCATGATAAGATGCCTCTTTTTACGGGATATTGTAAGACGAATTCAAGCAATTTTCATGCAATGTGCAATATGGATTCAGCAATAGGGATGTAACAATAACCGAAATATTATGATATCGAATCATCAAAACTCTCACAATAATATCAAGAGCTGTCACAATATATCAAATCACAAGTTCCTTTGGTTAAATGCTTTGTTTTACAGTAGCAACAGCTAAAAAACAAACAAAAGGGAACTAAAAATGGGACCTAAAAACATAGGGAACTACATATCCCATGATTCATTTCAGTGCAGACAACATGGACGGAATATATTTTTTATATGTTATTTACTTTAATTATTTGCATTATGATGGAAATAATTCACCAAAATCTTGTCAAGGTTTTTTAAAAGCAAAAAAGTCTGTATCCTGTCTACAATTATATTAACCAGTCCAAAATATCGCAATAAATATCGTACCATGAAATAAATATTGTGATAATATCGTACCATGAGATTTGGATATCGTTACATCCCTGTTCAACAACATCATTTTATAGCAACGCAAATCAGTATTAAAGAAAATATTAGCATTACCAAACAGTTCTGATTTTAGAATAATAAACAAACATTGACACTTACACTACTAGAAATACATTTCTATAGGCGACAGCTGCACTGCCAGTGGACGGATCCTTCCTCCAACCTTCAGATGCAACATTTTGAGCCATTTCATGTTTTTTTTTTTCTTATTTAACTAAAACAGAATCTCTCTTAATATTAGGTAATTATTTTAAAACGGATGAGCTGCTCAGTCTTCCATGTGATCAGAAAAACTATCGTTTAAAGCTCACTTTACGCTTTTGTGAACTCTCGAGTGTGTTTCCACAGTAACCAATAATAATAATGACTGCCAAACACATTTATCTAGTTTTAGCTGCTTTCATTAAGTCAAGTTTAATCATCCATCCACAAACTAATAGTGTTTAATGTGCCAAATAATGCCTTGAATTAAACAGAGATATGAGGAACTGACAGTCACTCACAGAAACCCTATTTTCTACATTTTAGCGCTCTGGAGGTGAAAAAAAATACACTTTTTGTTGCTTTACGGTTACATACATTGCAAAATGGCTCAGATAAGTAACACAGAAAGGCCCAGCAACACCAGAGTCGAACCGAGGACCTTCTTGCTGTGAGGCGAGAGTGGCAACTGCTGCATTTAAATGGTTTGATGTGGTCCAAAATTATTCCTCATTTACTTTATGCCTTCAGAGCTTCCATTTATTAACATCTATGAGTTTACAAGCGCTTTTTAAAACTTTCAAAACTTTTGCTGGACTATTAATTGACCAAGAAATTACGATAATATTGACATTTTGAGACCATTTTCAACTAATATAACAACAATTAAATAAAAATGCAAATACCTCCTTCCAAAGATCAATAAACTTTACTTTCTAAAGAACATTTAACATAGGAACTGTAAAACAACCAAAAACAATAGACCTAAATAAAATAGACTTGTTAACCTAAGAACAGCCTAATGTAGTCTGGCTCACAGCAAGAACTTGTTAACAAAAATGCACTTGAATAAACCATTGTTGAACCAAACGCGACCAATAAATAACAAGAAATAAATGGATTATTAAATCTCTGTAACAAAATTGCCCTTAAAAGTTATTTTATTAATTGACTTACATCAGAATATTGTGGCTCGTCTCTCTGCGGCTGCTGCTGTGAGACTCGTCATTTTGATCTTGAACTGTTCGTATTAATCTGCGACACAGGATCATATTTCGCTATTTTGTAAGTCAGAAAATCATATTTATAATACAGAGCCTGGTTACTTGATTAGTCCACTTTATTATACAGGGATTATCATTATGAGCTGCGCATATGTCCTACAGAAAAAGCCGCCGTCCTGTCTGGTATCGTGTCGGTGTCTTGTGGGATTTCAGTGGATTTCGGGCTCTCTCGGGGGCTAGTTGTGTTGATTGGGTATAAGTGTACCATAGGCCTGTAACGATAATCAATAAAGCAATTAATCGTACGAATCGTAAATTCTGTTTGCATGGTTGTTTGTTTTCCTCGCCCTCTGTCGCTGTCAAAGAGACTGAGTGTTAGAAGGCGTCTATCGCTCTCTGACTCCTCTCGTTTATCAAGTGTAATGAGGCTTGAACGTGTGAGCATAGACCATTTGTTTATCAGCACAACGGATGCGCGCGCAGCTTGAGTGCAGAAAGCGCCGCTGTCTGTGCGGTTTAACATGAAGCCGCAACACAAGCGCTGCCGTCAGAACCAAAAAAGTTCATCGCCGAGTACCAAAACAAGTCACGATCCTGAATCAACACTGATGAGTGGGACACGTCTCAACGACCACATGTGTCAAATTAAGTGAGTGCGTAAACAACGAGAAGAAATGTCTCAAACCTCAGCAGCCGACATACACCCACACATGATCGACAGAATTAGCCCCCGGGAGAGTCTGAAATCCACTGAAATTCCACAAGACACCGACACGACACCAGACAGGACAGAGGCTCCCTCATAGAGAAATATGATCATGTAGAGCGAGTTAATGCAAACACTTCAAGACCAAAATGCCGAGGCTTACACAGAGAGACGAGACACAATATACCAACGCAAGTCAACGACTAAAATCACTTTTAAGAGCAATTTTGTTACAGAGATTTAATAATCCATTTATTTATTGTTTCGATTGTGTTTGGTTCAACAGTGGTTTATTCAAGTGCATTTTTGTTAACAAGTCCTCGCTGTGAGCCAGACACATTAGGCTAGTCCTGTATTAACAAGTCTATTTTATTTATTAGGTCTATTGTTTTTGGTTTTCTTGCAGTTCCTGTGTTAAATGTTCTTTACAAAGTAAAGTTTATTGATCTTTGAAAGGATGTATTTACATTTTTATTCCATGGTCGTTATATTAGTTGAAATTGATATCAAAATGTCAGTATTATCGTTTATCGCAATAGATTCTTGGTCAATTAATCGTCCAGGAAAATCTGTTATGGTTACAGGCCTAAGTGTTTGTCACCTGCTGAGGTTTGAGCCATTTCTTCTCGTCATTTGTGCGCTCGTTGCATTTGACGCTTCCACTCACTAGAGCTGATTTGGCATCGTGACTTGTTTTGTCACACGGCGATTTTGGTGCTCTGACGGCGGATCTATCTTTGTGGCTGTGATGCCGAACTTTTGCACTGCATACAGACGGGACCAGACCGGAACAAGACCGGAACTGAGACCGGAATTGAGACCGGAACTGAGACCGGGATTGAGACCGGGATTGAGACCGGGACCGGGACCGGGCCGAGACAGACCAGACCGGAACCAGACCGGGACCAGACTGGAACCAGACCGGGACCAGAGCGGGACTAGAGCGGGACCAGAGTGAGATTGAGACCGAGACCATACCGGGACCAGACCGAGACAGAGATCAGGACTGAGACCGGGACCAGACCGAGACTGAGACCAGATCGGGACCAGGCCGGAACTGAGACCCAGACCAGGACCAGGCCGGGACCAGACCGGAAGCTCAGAGCTCGAAGCTGAGGCTCGGACCCTGCAGAAGCTCGGAGTCAAAGCTCGGAGTCTACTCTGGTCCCAGACTTGGTTCAGTCCTGAATCAGTCCTGGTTCAGTCCATATGAGGTGCAAAAGTCCGGCATCGCAGTCACGGCAGTCACGTAAACGGGAAACGGTCATTATCAGTTTTTCCATTCTTCATTTAAACACAAAATCGAAAACTGAAAAAATTAATCATTATCTGTTTTTTCATTTTGGTTTTGGAGACAAATAATGAAGAAAATAGTTGTTTTTTCATTTTCTTGTTTTTGGTTTTATATTGAAAAATGAATGAACGAATGACACACGGATTATTAAGCTAAAGAGACGAGAGGAGTCAGAGAGCGACAAAAGCCTTTTAACATTCAGGCTTTTTGGTAGAGAGAGAGAGACGACGAAAACAAACAAGCACGCAAATAGAAATTATCGCGACCGGAAAAGTTACCAAGCTCGTTAAAAGTTAATTCATTTATTGACTATCGTTCCAGGCCAAGCGCAGAGTTTTTATCGGACATTAAAAGCAGTTCGCAGCAGACATATTTTGACCTCGGGATGTGTGCTTATGCGATAAATCCGTACCGGAGCTCGACAAATTTTGCTCAAGTGCTTGGTAAAAAATCTGAATACATGACCTTTAATTTAGCGAACTTCTGACAATGAATGTAATAAGTATTTCTCAACAATCAGATTAGATAGTGCTCTTCTATAAAGACACCAAATTATGCTTCGACATTGATCTGGGGTTTTCCAAAAGTTTGCTTTTAT